CCCCGACTCCAGGGCCTTCTTCTAGCCCATCCTTCATCCTGGGATTAATTTTAATTTTCTAAAGCAATGCTTTGAATGTTGCCCTTCCCCTCTGCCTCTCTGGTGCCTCTAGGGTAATGTGCTAACACTTGACCCAGGAAATCAAAATGCTTTGCAGCAAGTCTTGCCCTTATTTACTTGATTGGCTCATCTTTCCCATGACAGTCCAGCTATGACAGAAACGTCTCACTTTCACTGAAAACCTACGTGCTCCCCTGCGTTTCTCCACCTCTCTTGCTATTAGACTGGGCCCAGGTGGCTGGGACCTGCCTAAAGAGATATGGGTAGAAATAAGGTTTGTCACTTCTAGGCTTGGCCACGACAGCCCCTACCTGGCTGTCTAGTCTCTCTTCAGGTTTCACGGTGTCTCCAGAGGCCACGTGTTGAGAAGGTGCTGCTACGATACAGTGGCACCTCCATCAGCCTGGGACCCCGAGTGTCCATATGGAGTAGAACACCTTGTTGACTCTTGCTGGGCATGTAATATGAGTAAGAAGTAAGTTTGCCCCTGGTGGCTGGTAAAGAATCTGCCTGCAGTGTGGGAGACCTGGGTTCAATCTCTGGGTGGGGAAGATCCCTGGAAGAAGGGAACGGCACTCCACTCCAGTATTCTTGCCTGAAGAATCCCATGGACAGAGGAGACTGGCGAGCTACAGTCTATGGGATCGCAAAGATTCCCACATGACTAACACTTTCACTTTTACTTTGAGATTTTTAGGCTCAGTTCGTTACTAGACCTCTTGATTCTGAGTTAAGAGGTGGGAACACTCTTGAGTGGTCACACCAAGATGTGGGTAATGAAGGGTCAGGGATCAAGGGTAGGGGAAGGCTTCTCACAACTACTAATAAGTAGCAGGGGTGGGATTTGAACCCAGGTCTCACTCTACTATCTGAGAACCACACTGCTCTTGGGACGTTGAAGACTCGACTCTGCAGGGCAAGCCCACAGAACTCCCTGGGTTTCCCAGAATGACTCTGGGGCCATCATTTGGCCCCTCTGTTGTTGACTCCCAGATCCTGGATGCTACCTCAGCTTACTTCCTTGTGCCTGGTTAGGTCTTTCTAGGCTCTTCTGGAGGTCTCTTCTCCTGGGAACATTTCCAGATCTGAAACTGAGGACTTGAGCCTTCTCCCTCTCACAGCATCCTGGATATATATCATAGTAGAGTATTTCCTGTCTGCTAATTATCCACTTCCTGTTTTCCGTGATGGAGTTGCTCTAGGCAGTGTGGACACCCTATCCCTGTATCCCACTGCCTCCTTAATTTGCCCATCCTAAACCTTTGACACATGTCTGTTCAATAAATGAATGAACACGTGTCTGAATGACCACATCTAAAAATGCCTCGCAGTTATTATGCTGTCTTGCATTAGAAGAAAGATGTGCTAAGTGTTTGAGACTTTTTTTTATCATGGTTACCCTAAAGGATTGAAATTTTCTTCAGTTACCTCTGACTATAACTTATTGACGTCTTCAGCCTAAAACAGTATCTAGCAGCTTTTCACTGTGCCTGTTTGGGGAACCTCCTGAGGGCACATTTTGGGTGAATTAGAAACTCCTCTTGCTCTGTGTCTCAAATAGATGTCCCACTTTTTTTTTTTTTTTTTTTTTTACCTTTCACGGTTGTTGAAGACAATAAAGATTTTAAACTTCACCTTCTTGACCTGAATCTGAAAATAATGGCTTTTTCCTCCCGGTTCCAATTCCAACACTTAGACGGAGTGGAGCTCTGAGTTAGGTAATCACAGCCCATTCATGGGGAGGCTTTGTCTTGCTTGAGACTGGAACGATGGCCGGCTTAGTAACTCTTGTGGATGGAAATGAATCTAGGAGGGAGCAAGGATCTGCTGGTGGCGAGCACCTCAACTATGCGTGGTCCTGGGTGCCAGAGTCCAGAGAGAGACCTTGGGGTGTTCACCCGTGTTCCTGCCTTGGCCCTCCCAGGTGGCGGTAGGTCACCTTCCCAGTGGCGTGAATCCATCCTTACTCGGCATTGCCAGAAAAAGGCATTTTGGGGCAGAGGGAGAGGAAATAGCAGTTACTTGAGCACCCTCGTCCCGCCCTAAGCCTTTTACTCATAGAGGGCTTCCTTGGTTGTGCTCAACACGGGGATGGGCCAGGCGCCCTGGTTACACCTTGGCAGCAGAGCGCACGCCCCAACCTCTGGCTGCCGGAGAGGCTGCTGGAAAGGGAAGTTGCTGTTGTTGTTGTTGTTGAGTCGCTCAGTTGTGTATGACTCTTTGCAACCCCATGGAATGCAGCACACCAGGCTTCCCTGTCCATGGGATTTCCCACGCTGGAGTGGGTTGCCATTTCCTTCTCCAGGGAATCCTCCCGACCCAGCGGTTGAACCCGGGTATCCCACACTGCAGGAAGATTCTCTACCCCCGAGCCACCTAGGAGGCCCCTGGAAAGGGAAGGATAGCCCCCACACCAGGCACAAGATTCAGCCACTCCCAGCTCATCCTTCTGAAGACTGCCAGATCCCAGGACCCTGATGCAAGGCTGAAGGGTTGCAAGAAACTGGTGAGACAGAGGCCCTGTCATGGGTGACACCACCCACAGTGTATGACCTGGCGACCTGGCTGGGTTTGCACGAGGCCAGGACACCCAGTCAGTTCAGGCTGTCGCCTGTGTCTGAGTCACCTGATGGCTGGTGCAAGGCCCCTTCCCTCCTCCCCATCACTGTTACTAACTCCAACACAAACTGATGTTCTAAAGCTTTACTGGGTTTTTCTTCCTGAGAGGATCTTGTCATGTTCGCCCTGTCTCTCTCAATTTAGAGAGACAGCAAGAGCCACAAAATTCAAGTTATTCCCTGAAAGGCAGAGCCTGGGTGGGCCTCCATCCACCACATCAACAGGCCGCGTCTACCAGCCAACATGTGGCACCCTCGCCATCCTCCCTTTCTGGTGTATAATTGCTTCCTGATTTTCTTTTTCCAAATGGAAAGGAATTTTATTTTACTTGGTCATTTAGAGTTTTACAGTAATGCAAAATTAACATTAGGAATTCTGATGAAGGCAAAAAAAATAGCAGATAAGCCAAAAGCACAGCATTTATGTTCTTACTATTTTTATTACTAATAGTTTATCATTATTAGATTATTTTCTTTAAAATTATTTATTTTCAGATTATCATATTATTTTATTATCATAATTGTTTTTGATTGGTGTAAAATTGGCTTAACCATTTTCAAGGGAGTGACTCAGTGGCATTTGGTTAATTCACAATATTGAGAGACCATCACCTCTATTGAATTCCAAACCATTTTCCTCAGCCCCAAAGGAGCCCCCAGACCTACTGGCAGCCCCTCCCTGTTCCTTTTTTTGTTCAGCCTCTGGTAACTATTAATCTGCTTTCTGTCTCTATGGATTTACCTATTTTCAATATTTCATATGAATGGAATCACACCATATGTAATCTCTGTGCCTGACTTTTTTTTCAATGATTATTTTAAAGCACTGTTTTCTACAGTAAGAAGTAGCTACATGGAAAACATTAAGCTTAGTAGGATTATTAAGTGTTCACTCCTGAATAGACTTTCATGTTCAAGGGTGCAGTGGTGTTTTATTTAATCTTTTTTTTTTTTAACCATGCTTTACTTTACATGCTCAGGACTAATTTGTCTTATAACTTGAAGTTTGAACCTTTTGATCACCTTCACCCATCCCCCACTCCCTGCCTCTAGCAACCACCAATCTCTTCTCTGCGTCTATGAATTTGAGATCATTCAGTATTTGTCTTTGTCTGACTTATTTCCATTAACACAATCCCCTCAAGGTCCACCAAGGTCCAATAAATAAACAAATGTTTCATTTATCCTTGGTGCACCTCTCTGCCTGGGCAAGCTAGTATCACTGTCTTCTGTACTTTATTACTACTGTTATTGGGCTTCCCTGGTAGCTCAGTCAGTGAAGAATCTGCCTGCAGTGCATGAGACCCAAGTTCAATCCCTGGGTCAGGAAGATCCCCGGAGAAAGAAAGATGGCAACCCATTACAGTCTTCTTGCCTGGAAAATCCCACGGACAGAGGAGCATGGCGGGTTACAGTCCCGGGGGCCACAGTAGTCGGACACAACTTAGCAACTAAACCACCACTATTATTACTATTAATAAAGCACAAAAGGCTTTATTAATTAATAAGGCACATTAATTAATAAAGCACCAAAACCCCCAGTGGTACTAGGGGCTTCCCTGGTAGCTCAGCTGGTAAAGAATCCGCCTGCAATGCAGGAGGCCCCGGTTTGATTCCTGGATTGGGACGATCCCCTGGAGGAGGACATGGCAACCCACTCCAGTATTCTTGTCTGGAGAATCCCATGGACAGAGGAGTCTGGCGGGAGGCAGTCCATGGGGCTGCAAAGAGTGGGACACGACTGAGCGACTAAGCACAGCACAGCATTACTATTAATACACTTTATTTTTAGAACCGTCTTAGATTTACAGGAAAATTAAGCAGGTAGTACAGAGAGTTAAAATAGAGAGTATGTAGGAATGCACTACCCTCTGCCCTTCATACAATTTCCCTTATCATTAGCATCACAATTTCCCTTATCATTAGCATCCTACGTGAGTACAGTAATGAACCATTGTCACAATTAATGAGCCAGTGTCAATACATCATTATCAAAGTCCATAGTTTATTCAGATTTCCTTAGTTTTTACCTAATATCCTTCTTCTGTTCTAGGATCCCATCCAGGACACCCCATGACAGAGTAACGTCATGTCCTCTTAGACTCCTCATGGCTGGGACAGTCACTGGCTTCGTGATTTTGAGGACCTTGACAGTTTGAAGGAGCACAGTCAGGTTTATTATGGGATCTCCCGTTACCAGGATTTGTCTGATGTTTTTCTCAAGACTAGACTGGCGTTGTCATGGGTTTTTGAAAGGAAGGTCACAGATGTAAAGTACAGTTTTCATCATATGTATATTAGGGGTACAGACCAACATAATGTATGACTGTTGATCTTGACCTCGGTCACCTCACTAAGGCAGTGTTTGTCAGCTCTCTCCACTGCAGAGGTACTCTCATGGTCCATCCCTTCCTGACTTTTAAATTAAAAAAAAAAAATCTTGTTCTCAGGACTAGATTGCACTGTTTATGTAACCAAGTGGATGCTTTGTGTAGATGCAGCCTTGAAGGTCTGACTGGCCTCGCTGTCTGTTCAGCATTGCAGCTGTCTAAACAGAGGCAAACCTATTCAGGGGCTGTGTGCCCCAAAACTGCAGCCCCAGTGATGAACACGGGACGCAGTCCACACTGACGAGAGAAGTATGTCAAGAGAAGTGACAAGAGAAGGCTGGGACGCCGGACACTTCCCGAGAACAGGCAGCGGTTCTTTTCTGCTTGAATTCTTCTTAAAGCTCTTCCCAGTTTTACCAGTCGTGACATCACAGCTAGTGTGAGCAGGTGCAGGAATGCAGGAGGAGAATCACATTTCATGTAGTCATTCAACAAACGTTCCTAAAATGGGCCCAGCATTCAGCAAGCGTGCATCATGAGGGTCACTAAGCCCCTGTGACAAACAGGGATTGTCCCTCCGCAGTGTCACAAATGCCCCTTCACAAAGCAAGGGAATCTATTTAATACATGGCATATAATAGAAGCCCCAAAGGTATAGTCGCAAAACCTATCAAATAGTCATGCTGTTGCTTTCATGAACATTCAAGTAAATGAGAGAACTCTGGGTCCTTGACACCTGGATTTAGGAATAAACTTTTTTTCTCTGGTTGCCTCGGGTCTGTGGCACGTGGGATCTTCTCTTGCAGTGCCCAGACCCTCTAGTTGTGGCGCTCAGGCTTAGTTGCTCCATGGCCTGTGGGATCTGCGTTCCCCAGGGGTCAAACCTTCCTCCCCTGCATTGCAAGACGGATTCTTAACCACTGGACCACCAGGGAAGTCCCTAGGAATAAACTTTTGCCTGGATGTTTTCAGTTAGAGATAAAGTGTAACAGGACATATTCAGATGGTGGAGACAGACCCCCAAGGTCCTTTTCATTATACTTTGCTGATACTTTCAGAGTTCTTCAATGAAAAACTTGAATGTCCTGCTTGCCATTAATAAAACCCTTGGAAAAGACAGGAAAATAAGCACCTCTCTTTATCAAATAAGACTGGGAGGGAACTGAATAAAGTTATCTGGGTAACTGGAGACTTTACATAATTATGTGGAAAGTAACTTTCTGGCTTCAAATTCGGGACAGCAGGTGGCTCCACTGACCCACCCTCTGGCTACAGCCCCAGAGCATGGGAGGAAGGGAGCGGGGAAGGAAGGGAGAGCGTGTGGAGGAAAATGGTGGGCTCAGCTGGGCTGGGTAGTTTGAGTCTCGGGGGGAGGTCGTTCTGGGGCTCAGATGATGAGCAGCAGACAAAAGCCTTTGCCCAGTAAACACATTCAGAAAGGTGGACAAGCAGAAGCCCAGTTGATGGTCCATCATCACCATCACCCTGATCATCATAGTATGGTCAACTTGCACAGGGCATTCTGCCCTCCAAGGGCTGTTCTATCCATTTTCTCAAGAGATATTTAAGGATGGAGACTTCAGATTGTTCAGTGCCTTTGACCAAGTGACATAGCTGTTGCAGACTGAATGTTTGTGCCTCCCCCGGTTTATATGTTAAAGCCCCAACCCCCTAGTGTGGCTGGATTGGAGGTGCAGGAAGGAATTAAGGTCAAAGGAGGTCATAAGAGTGAGGCTTTGATCAAATAGGATTAGTGTTCTTGTAATAAGAGACATCAGAGAGCTTGCTTTCTCTCTGTCCCCGTACAGACACGCCGAGGAAAGGCCACTTGAGGTCACAGTAGGAAGGTGGCCATCTGCAAGCCAGGAAGAGAGACCCCACCAGAAATGGAACACGGCCTAGGACTTCTGGCCTCTAGCACTGTGAGCAAACAAATGTCTGTAGTTTAAGCCACCCGGCTTGGTATTTTGTTATGTCAACTCAAGCAGACAAAGACATTTGGAGGCAGATGGAGGCTTTCAACTGGAGCTTCAGGACTATGCTGTACTTGCCACTGAAGGGGAGGAAATAGGCTTATAGGGCTAAAACCTTCTTATATTGGGGTACTTTGCAGTCACTGCCCAAGACGTGTTTCAGTCTCTCAGGAAAGAGTGAAAGGAGCTCTGAGTTTGGTTTGAGGTATTGTCTCTGGTCCACCCGGCAGGGGGCTGGCTTGTCTGAGTTTGGCAGTTTCATCACCCCAACGTCACATCGGTCACCTGCCCCTGATATCTTCATTTGAATGACCTGGTTTATGAATAACCTGGATTTCTTTAGTCTGAAATTACCAGCAGACTTTAGGGTGGGTCTCTCCCGACTCCCGTAAGGCGATCCAGTGAGGGAGCAGGCTGCAGGCACAGCTGCACTGGGAACCAAGGTCAGGTATTGGTCAGGAAACCTGAAAGCCATTATTACCATCTAGTGCCCCGGTAACACCTTTGTTCTGATCAGCTGATCACATCGACTCTGCTGAAAGCAAAATGCCCCCAAAGCTGGAACTTGGAGCCAGAGAAAATTATGGCAGAAAAGTTGAAACACTCCTGGGTTTGTGGCTGAGTTGGGGAATTCCTGAAGAGGAGGAGTTGCTGGGAAACTGAGTTGCATCAGGGTCCCTAAGACCTGGCTTTGATAGAGGGGGAACCAGGAAAGGGCAGGCTGATCCCATTTCTAGGGGAGTCGCCTTTGGGACTGTCAGCCACTCCATGACTCCTACCAGCTTTGATCTCCAGGGCAGGCCAAACGGACCCCTTCGATTTCCCTGAAATGGTAGGATTTATTTATGTCTGTATTGTATCTGCAGATGTGTATGATGTGGGTTTCCTCCACTGTGTTTCTTCAGCTGCACTTTCATAATTTATTCTGCCAGGCTCGGCCTGTCCTTGACATACCAAGCCATTAACTTGAAATCAGAAAAGGTCTGAGAGGCCTCTACATTCTTTCCTCTGATTATCAGGCCCTACGCTAGCTGGATATAAAGTCACTGGACTGGAAGGGGAAAAAGAATTGGCCTAAACGGTCATGGAAAAGTCTAAACAGAAGATTTTCTTTCTCTCTCCACTGGCAATGATTTATTTTCATGGTTTTATGAGACTTTAATGAGGAAACCTTATCTGTACGCCTGGTAATTATCAACCAAATTCCCATTTCCTGTCAGAAAATCCACCATAAGTAAAAACAAAAAAGGTGGAATCGAGAGACTCTTTGACCTCTGCGAGCTGTATGTCTGAGGAATCACTCTGCCACGCAGAGAATGTGACGGCGAAGCACGTGTGTGACATCCCTTGTACATTGATTGCTGCCGCAACTGGACTGATACGCAAATCAATTTAGTGTAACTCGTGCAAGCAGACAAAGATGCCCCGGTCCTACTGAATGCTGTCTCAAGACAGCTGATTAGAACAAAGGGAAGTGCCATTCCCCTCTTCAGTGCTTAGTCGCTAGGTCGTGTCTGACTCTGCAAGCTCACAGAGTGTAGCCCACCAGGCTCCTCTGTCCATGGGCTTCTCCAGGCAAGAATAGTGGAGTGGATTGTCAGGCCCTCCACCAGGGGATCTTCCCAGCCCAGCCATCAAGTCCAGGTTTCCTGCATCGCAGGTGGATTCTTTTATTGTCTGAGCCAGCAGGGAAACCCAAGAATACTGGAGTGGGTAGCCTATCCCTTCTTCAGGGGAACTTCCCGACCCAGGAATCAAACTGGGTTCTCCTGCATTGCAGGCAGATTCTTTATCAGCTGAGCTACCAGGGAAGCCCCATTTCCCTCTTTATGATTTAACCTAATTTCTAGTCTGGTTCAGTTCCTTCTACTGAGTAAATGAGTTCACACCTGAAGCAAAGGCCTGACAAGATGCTATGAATTTTGCCTTTGGAAAAGTTGAGTTTGGGTTTTTTGTTGTTGTTGTTTGGCGGGGGGGGGGTTCTCTGGTCACCAGTCACAGCTCTTGCCTGTACATAAAGAAGCTACAATGTCGGTCACCTGGTGAAATCGCCATGATTCAAGCCACCAGGATGGATTCTTCCCAGCATCTTGGGATTGAGGCAGAGAGCTTGTCAAGCATCCAGACCTCTAGGATGGAAGAGGAGCTCAAACAAGCGCACCAGAAAGGAGGAGGCCAGTGAGAGTGTTAGAATCTTTTTAGAATTTTAAGGCGCCATAGCACCCAGAGCAGCCAGGAAGTCAGAACACATCAAATCTTTATTTTCAGTTCCAGTTTTGTTAACAAGGTGAGAATCTCTTTTTCTTGCACTTTCCTCTAGGTGTAAATTTGTCATGCTCCCAAATAACCTACGAATTTCTCCCTGCCTGTTCTGTCATTTAAAAAGAATTATGTTCGTGCTTTCATCGTATCTTCACTGGCATCTGGGCCAGTGATAAGAGGACCGGAATAAGAATGTAATGACATAAATTAAAGAAATAATCTTCAAAATGGTATTTTCAAGTCACTGAAGGTAGGACCGGATAGCCTTGTTTCAGGTACAACAAAGTGCACTCTGGGAGAAAGTGAGATGGCCTTCATTTGCTCTTGCCCTCACTAGAGCTGGGTACCACCTCCTTCAACCCATCACTGCATCCCTCCTGTTCTTCCCTTCCCCACGAGGGTAGGTAGGAACAGGACCCTAGATGATAGAGTTACTCTATAGCACACGAGTGGTCAACAGGTTTGACATCACTGCCATTTTTATTGTCTTTTCAGTGATTCATTTATGCCCTTGACTATATATTGCAGGGGTATTCATGCCTGGCAGCCGTTTTTGGACTAATCAATGAGCTGGGTCAGGCTTTTTTCTTCTCTCTTCTCTCTTGAGGAGCCATTTACAATTTAATCACCTTGCTAAGATCACAATGAAGAACAGGCTCTTGACACACCAGTATTATCCAGAAGAAGCATATGGCAAGAGCATGGGCTTCTATAAATTAAGACCCAGACAGTATACGGATCTAGAATAATACTATCCAAGAAAAATATAATGTGAGTCACAGAAGAAATTTAAAATTTCTGGTACCTCATTAACAAAAGAAAAAGGAAACAAATGAAATTCATTTTAACATATTTTAGCTCACAATGCATTTCTAAAACATTACTATTTCCACATATATCAATGAAAAAATGCTAATTAAATTTTTTCTCTTTTTTTGCATTAAATCTGTGAAATCTGGTTTTTTTCATACTTATATTAAATCTTGATTTGGACTTAAATTCAATTTCACATTTTAAGTTTTCAGTAGCCACATGTGGCCAATGGCTACCCAATCACACAGCCTGA